GTACCACCATATATGTCTGGGGCAATGAGGGAGAAGGCAGGATTATTAACTACCAGAATATCATCAATGTATCGAAACAGTCGTAAACGAACATCTTTGTGTGTTTTCATATAACGATGTTCCATTGGAAAGAGTTAAATCAACTATATCAGGGCTTGCGTTTCCTCCCATAGGTACGCCTTGTGTTTGATGAAAGATTGAGTAGGCAAATCGAACATACACCTCATTAAGAACCGTAAAGATAATTGAATTTACCTCGCCCAATGTGTAATTAATAGTATTTGAAGGTGGTGCATTTGTGAACCAACACTTAGTGCCAGAAAGTACAAGCAATTTCTTGCCAAAATTCGAAAAGCATAATTCGGTTAAGTAAGGCCCCAGCATCTTGCCGCCTGTCCATTCTTGTTCTTTGTATTCTACTACTTGACCGCTCTTTGGCTGCCTCTACGTAACATCATCTCGGCCATCGGCCTCATTCACCACAAGGTTTCGACCACTCCTCGGCTGCCTCCCTACGATTACATACTCCTTTCCCGGTCACGTCCAATCTTGTTCAAGGAATCGTCTGTTTTACCTTCTGCCCAACCAGACAACTTGAATTATAATTCACACGTAAATATACTAAATAAAACACCTATTTTATTCGTCCCTGCACATCTTCCCATCTTGATCAGAAGGCGCCAAATACATAAAAATACAACGCACATACTTATCTCACTGCAATGCGTTCTCAATCCTCGCAAAAAGCTTAAAAGCTGAAACGCGAAATTTTTCCGAGCAGGTAATAGTTTTTTTGTAACATTTCATCATAATAATTTTTGCCACGAAACAGCTTATGAAAGACAGAACACGAAGAAGCGAAGGATGCAAAGCTTTTGGCAGCTGTAAATGAACGTGGATTTTTTGACAAACGACCGTTCGAGCAACACTTTCAATTTTTTATGAACTGGAAATTTGCATTTTTCATTTTTTCACAAAGCGGGCATTTACCAAAAAACGACCGGACTTCATGCAAAAAACCGGGGATCGCGAAAACGCTGAGGATGTGGGCGATCAGCGGTATAACCGATTAGACGTTTTCTATTCTTGCTATAACAGCTTTCGCCGTTTACAGTAATTGTGGCTGCCCCCGTCAAAACGGCTGTCTTCAGGCATCTTCTCGCCAAACCGGCAGAACGGCTTCGGCTCTGCACAGATAGCTGGGGCGTGAAGGGCGCTGCTTGAGGTCGAAGATCTCATGTGTTCACTGACTGTGATAGAATTCGCGCCATTTATCTTTGTTCACACAGCAGAAAACCGCTCGTTGCTACCTGTCGTGGACAATGGCACTAATAATTCTCCCGGCTCGTGGCAGCAATAAGTTCTTTGTCTTGAACAGCAGCAAATTCTGCCAGCTCGTGGATGATTGATGTTCCTGGCCACGTTAGCTCTTCCGCTCCAATGAATTTATACTAAAAAAATGCAGTTCTAGGCCGACAGAATGACCTGTAGTAGTAATAGCCCAAGTTCCTCAACTGGGAGCAATACGTCGAGCGTCCTTTGATTGTATGGCGAGCGTTGCTCGTCGGCTCCATCTTCAGCCCGATTTTGGAAAGCGTAATCCATCGCTTCATCGATTCTCTGAGCTCGGTTCCCGTCCCATCGCTTCCTATTACACGGTCTGCGTGTAAATTCGCAAACTGTGCAGCTGCCGCGGCCAGCCGAGGCCGGCCGAGGTGGAGCCGAGACGGCCCAGGTGAGCTGAGCCGACCTTTAGTAATTGCCCATAAATTATACACAGTCAAATTATAATATAAATTGAGTTGGAGATTAACTGGTGTAGTCGTCATCGTCGAAAGTCGATACCGAATGATGTCGATCCTGTCGTCGTCAATCCACGTTGTTGCTCCTCACCGCCGTTCGTCCTCATCGCTTCTCGCAGAATGAGGAGAACGGCCGAAGGGATTCGGACAATCGCCAGCCCATTCGTACCAGCCGGAAGTCCTACCCCTTATCGAGCATGGGCATCATGGTGAAAGTCCTAGGCCCGTCGACGAATATGAGCAGCCACTCCCAGTTGACTCATATTCCTGGCACCATACAAATAAAAAGATGAAAGTA